TCAGGGTGGGGGTCCCCACTGGGGTGCCTGGCCAGTCTGGGTGAGGGGCTGAGGGCCGTTTTCAGGCTGGCCAAGCTTCCCCGGTGACAGAAGCTCCCAGCCTCTCCTTTTTTTCTTTTTTTTTTATATTCTGGGATTTATTTACCTTCTATAATTGAAACTTTGTAGCCTTGAGAGGAGCTCAGAGTCAGCCAGGGCAGGCGGGAGGGAAGCTTGGCTTCCTCCATCGCCAGGGGCAACCCAAGCCTCCTGCTCGCTCCAGCTCCGTGGCCACGGCCGGCTGAAAGCAGGTATCTGGGGTTTATTTACCTTCTATAATTGAAACTTTGTTGCCTTGAGTGAGGCAACTGTTTGCCTCCAGCTACTGTTCTGGAAAATGGGAAGATATGGATAGGCTGAACCTCTTTGATTTGTGCTCCCAACACAAACCTCTTACTCCCAACATTTAATTACTCACTGAGGCTGACAACTTTCCTCCTCTTAGAATCAGATGGAGCCGGGAAGCTTGGCTTCCTCCATCATTGGGGCAACCAAGCCTCCTGCTTGCTCCAGCTCTATGGCTGCTGGCCGCCATCTTGGTTGGGTTAATTTGCATATAGTCCCTCTGATTGTCTGGTGGGCATGGCTTAAGGTGTAGTGAAGGTATGGTCAATTTGCATGTTTGTCTTTTATTAGTGTAGATGGTGATCAGTGATAGTGATGGTGGTGATGATGATGATGATGATGATGATGGTGGATGTGGGAAACTGTTTATTGCCTTCACTATCCGATAAGCATAGACAGAGAACTCCCCGAAACCCCCTGAAGGCTGGGTGCCTTTGAAGCCCTAGCAAAGCTCGGAGCTAGGCGCCACCTCTGTTTGTCCAGACAGTGGTAGCTGAAACTACTCCCCCATTTATTATTATGTAAATCCTTGCTGATGGGCTAGTCTGCCTGTTAATGGCGGGTCGCCTGCCTAAGGGCTACTCCGGATCAATAAAAGATTGGAGCAGCCTGAGCATGGGTGGAAGTCCCTCTCCTTGAGTTGGACTTGCCCGCCTGGACCTCCAATATTGCAAAATTATCTCGTGTCTTTTTCTCTCATTTGCTGTGCGGCTCCTCTTTCAGATACCGAACCCTACTCCACGCGGGACGTGGAAGGAAACACTCGACAGTGATGATGATGATGATGAGTGTCTGTGTTAGTGGAAGCAATGTAAATAGGGATGGTAGTCAAAATATCTAACAACCAGTGTGCTATAAGCATCAGGCAGTCAGAATCATGTAAACCAGAACAGACCCCACTCCTGGATGTCCTGACTGAATGTAACTGGGCTTTGATTGGACACTGGATAGCCACTATGGACGACTTGACAAACATCAGGAGAGGCAGTTGCTTAGTTTTGTTTCCTTGCTCCATAGTTTCCAGGGATGGTGAGTCCTTTTGAGAATTGATTGAAAAAGTTGCTTTTGGTGAGCTGGATTAGTTGAAGAACTGGCGTTGTGACTTCTGTATATGATTGGCTTTTAATGAATTTAGGGCAAATAATTCATTTCTCTCCATAAGTGTAAAAAGTGTTTCGTTCCTATCCTCCTTAGGAATGGATACAAGCTAAATGTGAGAGCTGAAATTAGGAAGGTCGTCAGTACATTCCGAGGTCTCCCATTGGGAGGGAAATTTTGGAGACTGATGTTTTGGAAGAGAGCCTTACCCTCTCCTCTCTCCATCTATGTCTGATTTTACCTACAACTATTAGATGAAAACAAGTGAAATTCTATGTGACCATTTTTGACCTACCGAAATGTCAATTTAATGTAGTCTGAATCTAACATTGGTTGAGCTTCAATTGTGACTCCAGCTACTGTTCTGGAAAATGGGAAGAGATGGATAGGCTGAACCTCTTTGATTTGTGCTGATTCTTGTTTTCATGAGAGGCAGTGGGGTGGAGTGTCAGAGAGATCTGGGTCTAAATTCTGGCTCCATCAAATACTAACTTGGTTCTCTCTGGCCTCTCTCTTTTTTTTGCTATGTTGAGTTTAGGTGAGTTAGCCACAGAGTTTCCTAATTCATAAAAGTAACTCAGTAGTTTCTCTTCTTCTCTCCTTTCCTTCATCTGACTAGTGGCACTGTTATGCCCAGAGTTCGGGGTCCCCAACAATCCACCACCAGGGAGCCCCCTCCGATGCAAAAGCAACAAGTCTTTATTGATCAATTCTAGAATTGGCTCCCAGCCTCTATCCGGCGCAGCGGTGAGGCGAGAGAGCGTGCCCCAGGAGAACAAAGGTTATATAGGGCTAGCTATTTGGGGTGGGCTTTAGGGGTGACGTGAGTTATAGAGATTGGTCAGGGTTTTACAGCATAAGGGTCAGGAAGTGACCATCACATTCTGAAGGTTGGAGCCGTCCTCCACTATAGCCTTATTAGGACCTTAGCTACATTTCTGGAGCTTCATTGGTCCACTCAGGTGGGTGGTTGGGAGAGTTAGGACAATACCAGCATTCTTGTGGTCACTCTCGGGGTTGGGGGGGGGCGGCTTGGGCTGAGGGCCCAGCCTTGCAAGACAAGATAGAGGAGAGGGAGAAGAGTATGTCTCTGTTTCGTCCTTGAAGAGGGAGGAGGGTGTATTTCTGCTCAGTTCTTTCAAGTTCCGTTCTGTCCCTTCAGCACAATCTGTGGGGGTTCACAGTTAATTTGTTATAATATTTATTATAACCTGTGAAAATCAGTTGCATTCAAGAGCATGGAAAACTAGATACATTTTTAAAACTATTCTTCTGGAGATCTTAACTTGAAAAAACAACAACACACATATTTACAAAAGATTGACTCAGTTATTAAAATTCTATGGCTTTCAATGCCAGTTTATTAAGTTACATCTATTAAATACATCAATACATACATTTCATTCACAGAGATTGGAATTGACACAGTAGTGTCTGAAGACATGAGCTGCATACCAGTGAAGTACGTATCCAATGACATACAATATGCAATTTACTTTGAGAGTGTGACGTTTTAACATAAAACATAAAATCAATGAAAGCACATGGGGCTTATCACTAAAACCACACAAACATGTACATTTGTTTAATCTCTATACCCCCGAAACAAAAGAGGGGAAAGTTACACATTGGAATGACTTTAAGAATAAAATCATTTGATTAAGTTCAGCTACTTTATTTACTCGAAACTGTGTGTCTCCTTCCTCCTGAATTTATGCACCATGAGAGTGGTACTTGCCTGTCGTGTTTTCTCTTGTCTTGTCTCTCCAGCCTCTTTGTAAGTGCTACTATGTGAATGATAAAAAAAAAGAACTGATTCATGTATGAAATGGAAAGACTGTTGGACTCGCAGTTAGGAAGTATGGATTCTAGTCTCAACACTGCTACTAGCTACTGTCTGGCATTGGGCTGTTTGTAGCATCTTTCTGAGCCCGAAAACATCCTTAAAATGATGTAAGTTAGAGCAGATAAACTCTACTGATTGCATCAGTTCTAAAACTCCATGACAATCTCTATTGGCCAAGATCTCAGAGTTACTTTGTGTTGGATACTCTCTGAACGAGTGGGAAATGGCACCTACTTCCAGGCTGGAAGCCACTGAACTCCACAAGGCCTCCCAGGTTCTTAATGATCAAATAGAACACACATAATGGCATAGTCATAGATTTGGGGGAAAAAATCCCAGATATCATTTGGTTCAATCCCTCCTCTTCCCTCAATGAAGAAATGGCTTCTATAAAACCCTTGAGCTAAGCCCTTTGCTTGAATATCTCCAGGGACTGAGAAGTCACTACTAGTATCTGGGGATATTCTGGTTTGGGATAGAAAATTTCTTTGGTTATCAAGCCATAAATGGAGACCCTGTAACTGCAACTCAGTTGCCCCAACGCCTTCCTCCAGAGACACGTAGAAGTAGTCTCCTCTTTCCTTCTACATCATCCCATTATCTCCTTCCAGTTTCTCCGCCTGTCATTAGAATGAATGCTATTTTATTTGCTAAGAGCAGATGGTAACTGGATGTGCCTAGTCTTCTGACTCAGATTCACGAAGATGGTATTCTAGCTCTAGATCTGCCATTAACTCCTTGTGTGGCCTGACAAGTAACTTCAGTCTTGGCTGGTATGGTCTTTTCTTAAAGTGGAGTGATGTAAGGAGTTGGGGGCAAATATGTCTCAGAGCTTGGGAAGTTGTAACTATGGTTGTCGGAGTGGGGTAGGGCACAGATGTGACTGCTCTGCCCCATACTCTGTCACCACTGGAGCGAAAGGACTCGGGGCTTAACAGTCCACTGCTTTCTCCTCAGGCCCAGCTGCCAATGTGATGTAATAGCTGTTAATATCCAGGCTAGTGATACACACTTAAATAAACATTCTGCTAAAAATGGCAAAACACTTCCAGGACTCTGGGTCCTAAGAGAGCAAGAAATCTTAGAACAAGAGGGTTCTGCATGTGTTTTGCAAGGTGTGGAGTATAAACTACTCTGTCCTGAAGAATTAATCCCCAGTGTCACAATCATGGAAACACGACTGGGAAAGGACTTGGGAAATACCTCGCAAGGGAACTTTGTGCACAGGGAGCTGGTTGAACTTTTATAACCCAGCGGAGTTATTGACAAGCACAGAAGTGGAATTTCCTCTGGGGGTGATGTAGCTTAAATTGAAATGGAGCCAAGGGCTTTGGCATGCCTGTTACTGAACTGAACCAGACACTTTTCAGGATGTGAAAGGTGCATCTTTTCATATTCTGTAGCCTAGTTAAGAGTCATAAATTTTAGTACCTTAAACAATTCTGTTCTCTCACATAGATCTAAACCAGGGGTCCTCAAACTACGGCCCGCGGGCCACATGCAAATACAAATATTGTATTTGTTCCCGTTTTGTTTTTTTACTTCAAAATAAGATATGTGCAGTGTGCGTAGGAATTTGTTCATAGTTTTTTTTTTAAACTATAGTCTGGCCCTCCAACGGTCTGAGGGACAGTGAACTGGCCCCCTGTTTAAAAAGTTTGAGGACCCCTGAGCTAAACCATGCTAGGGTCCTAATGCTGGTGACCCCATGCATTTTGATCATGGGGATTTGCTGAGGGACACACGCACCTCTGGGTCATCCATAAAGTTCTAGTATTTTCAAGAATGTTGCTGGCCAAACTTGATAATAACCTCTCTCTACATTTGGCTTTGATAATGGATGCCACTATAGAAAACAGTAACTTTGTGTTCTCCCCTTTTACTTATGAAAATCTGTCCTTGGGTAGCTATTTAAAAAATCACTTATTGTATACACAAATCATGTTGTTAATGATCATCCTTCACCAAATGGCACCCATTTTCATGAGAAAATATCCATGTGCCTAAAGTTAGCTAATTAATTAGCTAATACAACCAAAATAAATTAACAGATCTACAGACAGTGGAAGTACTAAGCAGTTAGAATGAACACATCGGAGACTAAAATAATTTATCTTTGTGTCTCCAGGATGAGTGGGTACTCAGTATATGTTTGTGGAATTGATTTGAAGTCAGCCTTTTGCGAGACACTGAACCAGCAAAGCACTTTCCCCCTAAATTAACCATTTTCTGACGCATGTACGCATATTCTTTCGGAACATTCTGGCCCTTCGAATGCACTCTCTGTACTCCTTTTAGGGGACTATCACATGGTCTTAAAAAGCATCTCCCACTTGATTTTAAAAACAAGGGCACAAATATTTGCCATGGAAATAATGCCTAGGACTCGAGTCCTACTAGGAATGTTTGACTGAGCCTTTCTGACCAGTAAAAGCTGTATCATAGGACATTTAATAAATTCAACCATGAAAACTTGAGCACAATACATTCTTCAATAAATGGGCTTAGGATGGGAGCAAAATAAATATGTGGTAGGATCTTTCCAAAGCTTCAGGTCTTTTAGGATAGTAGGAAATTCCAATTTCTTGAATGAACTTCCAAATCCACCAGCTGCCCAATGGAACAGTGGGCGGGTTTGAAGACCCTGGGCACAGGGGTCCTTCTAGTGGAGAAGAGGAGTAGGCCACTCTGGCCTCCTCCATGCAAATTCTTGCCCATTCCCCAGGTCGCTTGGTGCTCTCATGCAGATGCAGATGGAGCATTTTATTTTCTTAATGGGGTATTAGTTCTGATCGTGGAGCCAGTGAGACTCATTGATGAAACATTCGTGATCCACCCATAAATGTTGTACCAGGAGTCGATTGAGGAAACATTCACTAATCAAGCTGGCTTTATAGTTACTGAGAAACCTCTCCATTCTGCTTTAAGAAAAGGGTAATTCCTCCATCTGAGATGCCCTTTCTCCGAGGCCATCTGTCGTCCGCCCACCTTCTTTCAGAACTCACTTCCTTCATGAAGATGCTTCTGAACCAGGTGGAGGTGACCACACCCTTGTCCGTGCTCCCATTGAGCCCTGTGCTCATTGTTTTGAGAAGCTGAAGGCTTTGGAGCCTTAACCTCCCAACTGAGAAATGGAATTTTTGTTTAATTATAACTCAACAAATATTGGTCAAGTACTGCTGCACCAATCATTGTGCTCAGGAGCCCCGTCACACCCCTCTGTCCTCTGTAGTCTCCTGGCAACAAGGGGAAGAGTTGATTTTGGTGCCAGGCTTGCTTCCAGACCCATTGTGAGATCTCCTCCATAGGGAGCATTTATAATAGAGTCTGAAGTGCCATGTCACACTGCCATGCTCCCACGTGACACTGACATGCTCTCCTACTTCACAGAATGTTCAAAGTTACCAAGTTTCATCCCCATGGACTCATTTGATACTGGGAAGCAAGTTGGTGGATTCTTGCTTTACAGACAAGCCTCAATGTCCAGCCTCTCCTCCAGGGAAGAAGTCTTAGGTAAGCTGATTAGCTAATTGCATATTTAAATCCCTTAGACTATTTTAAGAGAAAAATACCCACATAACACTCTGAGGTTGTGAATCAAAATTCAAAGCGGATCTGGGTTAACTTTTCCAGATTTGGAGATTGACCCTTCCCCCCCAAGAGAATAAGTCCATTGTCTCCTGACACCAATCAAATTTGTTGTACAGTTTGTATAATTAGCTAGAAATCTGTCTTCAAGTTTCTTGAGTTACCTAATCAGCTGGACAGCTTACATAGTCAGGAGCGCCCCAGAAATCTTGCTGTCAGATGATATGTTTTTTAGGTTTGGAGTTAGTCCTTGGTGCATGTTGGGACACATTTGACCAGGAGCCATCTAGTGACATTCATATAAGTTTTTAGTAGAATCTGACTTGTTCATAGTGTCTTCTGGGTAAAGATAATGCCCAGAACATAACAGGTGCTCAAGAAAACTGTGGTGAATAAATGCTATTGTTGTATTTTTGATATGCATGTGGAACTCATACTTGCTTATTTTGATGCCTGTGTACAAAATAATGGGAAAGGTAGTTTCTCTTATTTGCCATAGATAGTATCATGAAAATCAATTTCTTTTTTTGAGAACATTCATGAAAAATAGCAGTTTCTTCTTTCTTTCTTCTTTTCTTCCTTCCTTCCTTCCTTCCTTCCTTCCTTCCTTCCTTCCTTCCTTCCTTCCTTCCTTCCTTTCTATGAAACTATGTATTTGGGGAAACTGATTAAGGATTTCTCCTCTGAAAGGTTTACACTGTTTTCTAGGTCTTTGGATTTTATTCAAGGCTCTTGAACTGAAGTGAATGCTTCATAATCAAACTGAACAGCAACTGAGCCCACTGGTGACAACTGTGTAGTAGGAAGCTGTAGAAATGTTCTGAGTAAATCATCCATTCATTTGGTAATGAGTGTACTAATGTTCAGAAATTCACCCATCTTCTAGGCAACCATGGTAATATGTCTGCCTTTTTTCTCGCTTTTTCCAATTTGTATTCTCATCAGTAAGGCATATAAAGTGTGGGCTTTTGGGCCCTACATTTCATAGCTAAACCATTGTCTCTGTGGAACGCTTCAAGAAAGCCCCTGGTTATAATTACATATGAATGAAGAAAATTAGGAACTAGGAGGAGAGGACCTTTACACAGTGACATCTGCCTTACCCCTATAGCAAGAAGGCTCCAAAGAAGGTTTTATCTTCTTTTGTGTAGTCCACCAAAGAGATGTCACTGACGTTCACCATCAGCTTGTCCCCTTCTTGCAAGGAGAACATGGCTCCTAGATAAATGGGTTGGAACCAGTTGCTACCTATTTCACACACTGTCTTGGTCCCCATTAGGAGCTGAGTGGGTTCGGGGTAGTTCTCCGTTACCTTGGTGATGACCACAATGATGATGTCTGGCTTGTTTGCTCGGCTCCCTTTGCTGCTTTCACCACATTTGGATGTGATACCTCGGAATGTGATCTGGGAGTAAACAAAATAGTCTCCCGACTCTGGGATCACCAGGAATTTATTCGTGTAGTTCATCCGGTTCTTGGTGAAGGCCAAGCCAAGTTCATGTTCCCAGTCCAGAACTGGGAACTGATTATTCAAGGGCTGTGTGGACGTTTGTCTCACAACTGCAGAGACAAGAGAGAGGTTTAATTTGCCTGTGTTGGAACTCATGGACTTTGCAAAATATGTCTCATTATTTTTAAATTTATTTTTATTGTTGACAGTATCACAGATATCCCCCATTTCCCCCACTCTATCCCCCTCCACCTGGCCCCCGTCCCACCCCAGGCCTTCACTGCACTATTGTCTGTGTCCATGGACGATGCATATATGTATATAAGTTCTTTGGCTAATCTCTTCCCATCACCATCCCCATCCCCATACAACTCTAGGTTATTAATCAACCAAGTAGGCTCCTCCTCTCTGACTCTCAATTTCCTGTGTGTGAATTGGAGATAAAGCTCCCTCATAGTCTTGTTCTGAAGGTCAAGTGAATGAAAGAGACATGGACATTTTTTTCTTGATGACCGGATACAGCATTATTCAATACATATTTATTTTCTTTCTCCAAATAAACTAGCATCTTTCATTTCGATAGATTAAAAAATAAGCCAATTTCATTTTAATGTATTTTTTAATCCTCACCCAAGGACATGTTTTGATTGATTTTGAGAGAGAGAGAGAGATAGAGAGAGAGAGAGAGAAAGAAACATCAATCTGAGAGAATCAATCAATCGGTTGTCTTCCATATGTGCCCTGACCGGGAATTGAACTTGTCACCTTTTGGTATATGGGATGATGCTCCAACCAACTGAGCCATCTGGCCTGTCAAGCCTATTTCATTTTATATATTTTTATATATTTTTATATTTGCATTATTTATATGTATACATCATGTAGAACATATGAATGCTTTCATGCAGTATATAGCTGTAGCAGAAAAAAATGAATAGAATCAAACAGATTTCAAATAGGATAATCGGCAATAAACTAATACTTTACAGTGAAAATAAAAACACATTTTAATTTCCTACAGCTACTTTTGAAACCCTTAGTAATCACCATTATGTACTGTCAGCCACAGTTTGGGGACTGATTATGTTTAAAGAAGCACTTAGCAATCTTCACACCTGGTGGTTGACCGGAAACCTGGCTCCTGGATTTTCCTAAAACATCTTTCCCATTTCTGACTACACTATGGTTTCTTTTGCAACTGTGATACGTGTTCAGAATGTGTGTAGTTTCCCCTGGCCCCTCTACTAAGTGGCCTCTGGAGAGTTCTGTTGCTTCTTTGCAAAATCTGTGCAAGGCATTTTTATTAGTCACCTGTGATTGTCTCTACTCCTTCTTTGCAGTAGATTAAAAAAGAAAAAAATCCTCTCAAATGATACAAAAGCAAAAGTCATTAGTCTCTAGATCAGGGGTGGGCAAACTTTTTGACTCGAGGGCCACAATGGGTTCTTAAACTGGACCGGAGGGCCGGAACAAAAGCATGGATGGAGTGTTTGTGTGAACTAATATAAATTCAAAGTAAACATCATTACATAAAGGGGTACGGTCTTTTTTTTTTTTTTTTAGTTTTATTCATTTCAAACAGGCTGGATCCGGCCCGCGGGCCGTAGTTTGCCCACGGCTGCTCTAGATACAGCAAATTCTGTTAAATTGGCATGCAATTAGCTCTGTCAACATAGCAGCAAGTAGGAGTGTGGGTTGGAAGTATGTATTGGAAACTGCAGTTCTGAGAGTCAGCTCATCCTAGTCATGTCACTTGGGATAAGTGAATTTAGTTGCCTAAGCCCCAGTTTCCCCATATCATTGGGCTAATATGCAGATCAAATAAATCATTGATGTAAAATGCCTACTGTGGCGTCTGAAATGTATTAGAAATTCAGTAGAGCCTAGATTCCTTCACCAATGTCAACTCCCCCAGTCAATATGGCATCTCCATACTCAATTTTTAGGGTTTTCCTGGCCAGCCTTTTCAATTTCACCCATTCTTATAAGTGAGTGGTAAGTGATTGAAACTTGGCATCTCCCTGGTCCTAATCCTTGTTCAGGACTCCCCACAAACAGCTTCCTCTTGAACAGATGTCTTGGGCCCAAGGATATCCCCCTGTGGATTGCATATTTTTCTTAGAGGTCAGGAGGCATATTTTTTTTATGATTTCTTTTTAACTCTGGTTTTTCAATGGGTTTTTAACATCTTTCTGCACTGCTGTGCTCTTTTCTCTCGAGTCATAGAGTTATATACAACTCCAAGTGTGAGATGCCAGGAATTTCCACACTAGACTTGCGGAACTGGCCATCTGGTGATATTACGAGATTGCTCTTAATCTATTCACATCAATGGGAATTCTTTGGAAATATCTTTCTGAGTGTATATGTACAATAACTTCATTTTGCATAGGGCATAGATGGACTCGATATATTGGCAACTCAGGGTCATTCATCTTTGACCAGATATAGAATTATGAGAGTGTCAGAGTCTGAGGAAAACCAGTTTGGAATGACTGCATGAATGAAAGAGAGAAACAGCAGAGAAAGGAAGAGGGCTGATAGAATCTGAAAGAAAATACCCAAGAAACATGGGCTTTTGGGTCCCTCAAGGAAGGAAGACATCTGAAATCCCTCGACTGAGAGGAGGAGTCTGTTACTAAAGGGGTGTCATTTCTAGTCTGAAACCATTTGATTGGGTTTTGGTAAACGCTGAAAGAAATCTCAGGCCCATGGCCTCCTGGAAAGAACACCGAGGAGAATTACCTGTCAGGTGTGCCCTTGGCTTATCTCCACTAGTTCTGGGAGGTGCATCTGTAAAGAAAGGAGAAAAATGCTTTGTATGAGTCAGAGAGTGACTGGAGTGAACACAACATTTGGGGAGTTGCATGATGCCTGCAACTGGAGAGAAATTATTCCTCTTCTCCAGCTTGGTCCAGTGCCCCTCTTTGGAAGTTTTTTTTGTTGTTTTGTTTGTTTGTTTGTTTTTTGGTGTTTTTGTTTTTTGAAGTAACAGGGGAGACTCAGAAGAAAGTCTTAAGCATAAATGAATCTTGGCTTCATGATTTTGGACAAGTTATCTAATCTATCTCAGACTTTGTTTTATCATCTCTAAGGTGGGCACATTAATTTCTACCGTGGATGGAGAGTGTTCAGAAATATTCCTGGCATATAATGGGTGCTCAGTAAAGCTCACCTTGCCTCTTCTGTCCTCCTCCTGCTTCTGTGGGAGTGAATTGTTCTTTTGCCTTTTTCATGGTCCCTTTAACCATATCCACTGAGGTATCTAATGGCTTAAGAGAGTGGGGTGGAAACCACTCTGTAGCTGTATGACCTTGTCAGATCCCTTTCCCTTTCTGGTCCTCTGTTTCTCTATCAGCTAGCTCTCCAGAAGACCTCACTTTTTAGGGGTTTTAGAAATGATTATATTAGACAAGTTTGTTTTAACTGCAGTGGTAATGATATTATTATTGATGTTAAAAAGGAAAAATCAGTGTATCATTTTGATGTGGTAGGCATTGTTCTACTATCTTTATGGGAATTAACTAATTTAATCTACACAAACCCTGTGGGTGGGTACTATCATAACCATTTTTATAGGTCAGTAAAATGAGACAGAGATGGATGAAATGATTTGCCCAAAGGCCATCAATCACAGGCCCTGCACTTAGCTATGGCATCATTTTGCCTTCTTAGTGGCTGGGGAGGCCCCTCACTTCTCCTCTGGGTTTGCATCCCTCTGATTCCCCTATATATTAAGAACTACTGGATATGTTCTTGTTCCCCACAAGAAAGGCATCAAATATGAATGAATATACTTACAAGCTCGCTGATGTGAAGGTCCAAATTCCTGTGCTTTTGGAGTCTGTTGGGAAAGAAAGATATGGTTCAGACCATCTCTGGTCCTTCTGACCCCAACATCCACACAGCTGTTGAAAGCATGGGTGGGATTAAGATGCTGCTGCTACCCCTCCTAGGCACTCTGAGATGAGGGAAATGGGGCAGAATATTTGGTCCATGGGAATCTTGCACCCAAGCTCCCCCCTTTTCTACTCCAGTACTAATGACCTTTCTCTCTCTTATGCTTGTCTTAAAGGTTCTGTCCTGAGATTTTTTCCTTTTCTATTCTAGGGCACTCCAACATCTTGTCAATGGTTCTATTATTTTAACAAATAATGACACTTGCTTCATTTTCTTTTTTACACCACAATTTGGAAATTGAAACTATTTTTTAAAAAACGATACCAAAAAAGAAATAATCACTGTGTTCTCCTTCTCCTCAGTCTCTTTCTTGTTTCCTTGTAATGCATGATGACTTTTTCTTTTTCACTAAATTTTTTGAAAGTATATTTTATTGATTTCAGAGAGGAAGGGAGAAGGAGAGAGAGACAGAAGCATCAATGAGAGAGAAACATTGATTGGCTGCCTCCTGCACACCCCACACCGGGGATCGAGCCCACAACCCTGGCATGTGCCCTGACCTGGAATCGAACTGTGACCTCTTGGTTCATAGGTTGACGCTCAACCACTGAGCCATACCGGCTGAGTCATGATGTCTTTTTCTTCATTGCAATCCCAGTTTGTGAGCCATTTCAGAATCCACACGGTAATGGGAGAAGAACTGCTTTGGAGGCAGACAGACCTGGACTTGGATCCCAATTCCACCATTTATTAACAATATATTCTTGAGCAGGAAGACTCTTTTCTCCTCTGAGCTTTGCTGTCCTTATTTGTAAAATGGGAGTATTAACATCCATAGTTCTAGATAACTCCCAGGTTTGAGATAAGGACCAACTCAGATGAGCAAAATACACTAACAAAATAGAAACAGACTCATAGGTACAGAGAACAGACTGAGAGTGTCAGAGAGGAGTGAGGTTTGGAGCTGGGTGAAAAAGGTGAATGGATTAAGCAAAAACAAATAAACAAAACAACAACAACAAAATCACACACACAAAAATCCCCTCAGACACAGACAATACTGTGGTGATTACCAAGGGAAATGGGGTTGTGGGGAAGTAGAAGAGGGTAAATGGGGGGATAAATGGTGACAGTAAGAAACTTGACTTGGGGTGGTGAACACACAATACAATGTACAGATGATGTGTTATAGAACTGTACAATTGAAATCTATCTCGTTTTATTAACCAATGTCATCCCAATAAATTTAATACATTAAAAAAAAGAAAAGAAAATGTATTAGTGGAAAGAAGACATGGGAACGGAAGGAACCACCACTCACGTGCCAGAATAGAAAGCTCAGGAGCAAAACTAAGCTTCTTGCTTAGGAATAAGATTACCATCTTATATTTTACAATATTTCCAAAGAATCCTCTCTGATACGATTTTGACTCAACCCAGGGCCTTCTGATTGGGTTTTCGTAATTGCTCAGTCTCCACCAACTGTAATCCTCATGGATACTTGACCAGTTTTACATCTTAACACGCATACGTGGGTGTGAGTATACTCTTGTGAATGAGGAATTGTGTGTCTGTGTGAGTATGAGAGAAGATAGCTCCACTGGTGGGAAAGAGAGTTTTTGCACCTGTGTATCTAAAGTGTCTGTGGTGTGGTGGTCTGTGCATGGCTGTCTCTGCATGCATATATGTGTGGCCATGTGGGATTAGCCATGCTATATCTGAGGCTTGGCCTGTGAGCAGTTCTGTGATTCTGTTGGAACCCAGACTGTCAGGCTCTTTTTGCTTTCAAGCCACTGGAAGCTCTCTTGAGGACAAAGATCTTGTCTTTGACAAACTGATTTCATGGTCACTCCCTTTTCTCTGCTTCCTAATTCTGTTAATGGTACTACTACTGCTTTCCCTTAGTTACCAGGCCTAAAATTGGCTTCTTTCTTCTTCCACAAACCAAACTGTAACTTCTATTTTGCAGTTTTTCTCTTTCTTGAATCCACATTAGGCCTCATTATACTGCTTGCTTAGATTCTTCCAAGAGCCTCCTACCAGATCTCTCCTGCATCTGTTTTATCCTTTTCCCTACCCCATCTCCTAGCCTGTCTTTAGAGGGCTTTTTCTAAAGCATCACATTATCTTGGAATTTAAAGTTCAAATTTACCATCCCAGTCCCAGAGGTGGGGGAATCAGGGGAAATTACCCAGACCTGAGTCTTACAGGACCCACAGGTATTAGTCTGGTGGTAAAAGGTGATAACCATTCCAGACCAGGTCAACGGCTGTGCAAGAGTAAGGAGGCCCAACAACGCATGGCAGCAGTTGGGAAACTGCAAGGATTTCTGCCGCCAGATGAACACATTAGATACATTTGCATAGGGTCATGAGTACAGTGGTCTTTGAAAACCTATGCCCAATTGATGTGACTACTTGTCCCGCATCAGTAACTTTGATGGGGTTGAGAGGTGGAGAAGCAGCCTAGAAATGAGCTTATTTTGTAGCCTGTTTCCTTAGTTGCTATTGACAGAGCTGCTAAAGAATCAGTCCTTTGGCAAGGCAGAAAACTGAAGGTGGGGTTCTCAGAGAGAATGAGGGAGAGCTTGGTTGCATCTCCTTGTGCCTGTTATGGTACTTTCCCTGACTGGCCTTCTTTGACTTATTCATTCTGCTAAGAAATCTTCTCCAACATCTGCTTATTTTTGGCTAAGCAACACCCAGCTAAGAGTTTGGAGCATCCCTTTTGGCTCATAGAACCCTTTTCATTTACATGTATTTGGGATGTGAGCACATTTTTCTATTTGCTCTGATGGATTTCTATAACTTGGGAACACATTTTATTTTCATATATGGATGTATGTGTGTGCATTTTTGTGGCCTCAAAATGCCACTACATGTCTGGAGACTGTGATAGTTGGCAGGTGTTGAAGAACACAGCATCCCCAGAGTCCCCAAGAAGAACAGCAGCTGGGATTCTTTTCCTGAGAACAGCACGGAAAGCCTCCCATTGCTGTTTCTCTTAGTAATGACTCTCTCATGAGAGGAAGATTATTGCAACAGAAGCGAATGAAGAGGAGATTTGAGAGAAGAAATAGTAGTTTATTTGGGGAAAGCTTTGTGCATTTGAGTTGGTTGGCTCAATGCCTGGTCTCCAGATGGTTGTTGGTGACACCAGGCCAATAAAATGTCTATTGTTGCCCAAACCTGACTCATCTCCATTGCTTTTGGGTTCCCCTGGGGAACCCAGGAGATGGTGACTCCCGAAGGTCAGTGCAACATTGATTTCCAAATCTGTATAGACACAGTATTCAAGAGCACCCCAGGAGAATGTGATTTATTTCCCATTCAAGGCCTTCACAAACCACTGGCTAGGAACCAGGATCCCATCTTAGTTCCCTTCCTCTCTCATTTATCACTCTCTAGGGATATTACTTATTTGACTGTTATTGCTTTTCTCTCTCCAGTAGAAGTCAAGTTGCATGCAGACAAGGACCCGGTTTGCCTGTCTTGCTTACCACTATATTCCTGGTGCCTCGGACAGTGCCTGGCACTCTCACTGGATTATCCATGTTGGGAAAATATGCTGGTGCTCGGGCATCAAAAAGACAAGCAGAAAAGAGAGCAGAGGATGGAGGAAGGCTCAGCTTTAGTGACTTCAGCCAAAAAACTAGGAAAGAGAACTTTTTATTTTAGAATGCATGCAAAGTTTTGAGTTTTTGTTTACATTTAAAAACTTTAATTATGTAGCGGTATGTAGCCAAAATCTTTGAGGACTGGGGCCTCTATGTGCTTTCATCAGGCTCTGCTTGGTGTATAGCTATGGCTCTAGAAATGTTTGTTGAAAGTTGGGAGCTTTGGTCAGAGTCAGAGCCAGGAAAGGCCAGTATGTCCAGTGTGTATGCCCATGGGCACACATGTTAATGAGGCAGGGGAAGCCTGCCACCACCACCATTTATTAGCCTTGGCAAAGTACGCTGGCTTTTCACCCCATAGTTTCCATAGGTCGGGAATTTTCACTCTCATTTGGTTTTCTTTCTTTGTTCTAAAAAAAGAGTTTGTTTTGGTATGTTGAGTGGTAATCTCTAACTCAAACTAATCATGACCTATTACTATAGGTATTTTTGGGACTACTCTAATCCTTCAAATACGAGAGAAGGAGGATAGAGGAAAGGAGGAGACTGCTTTCTAGCTGAGTGCTTAATGGGTGCCAGGCCCCATGTTGGGCATTTATGTTTGTTCCTCATCTAATACTCCAGCTGCTCTCAAGGGAGTGTATCACCTTTAAAAAAATGTTTTTATTGATTTCAGAGAGAGGAAGGGAGAGGGAGGGAGAGAAAAGAGAGAGAGAGAGAGAGACCAATAATGAGAGAGAATCATCGATCAGCTGCCCCCTGGATGCCCCCTATTGGGGATCGAGCCCGCAACCTGGGCATATGCTCTGACAGGGAATTGAACCTGGACCTTCTGGTTCATGGATCGATGCTCAACCACTGAGCAACACCAGCCGGGCTGTATCACCTTTATATAGTGAAGCCAAAGGTCAAAGAATAAGTGGAGGGTCTGGTATCTGGACCTTTAGACCAAGTACAAACCCTGGCACATATCAGGAGCCCCATAAACCTTAGCTGAGCACACTCAATGGAAGATCGAACCTGAAGCAAGATGGCCTTTGAGATGATCTTGGCATTTACTGGAAAAAATCCCTTGAGTATATTTTAACTAATTACCTCTTTGGCCTTTCTCCCAGGTTTTGTAGTCAGTGTATAGTATACTCAAAAATGGAAAACCTATCCATTGCATATTTTATAGTCACTGTATAGTATACTTAAAAACGGAAGAGATAGCCATTGCTTGCCCTCATAAATGCCGCAGGTGGAAAGGTCTAAGTGTTTTATGACCCATAATATCCTCCCAGCACTTCTAGGGGAAATACACATATGTTTGCCTTCTTGTCTCTCTC